CCCCAAAACCCCAAAACCCCAAAACCCCAAAACCCCAACTGATAGAATTTTAAGGTAATAAAATTGAATTGGTTAGTGGAAAATTAATTTACAATTTAATATTGGGTATATGATGATTAGAAATCTTTAAAACTTAGTCATATTAGTTTACCAGAAATATCTATAAGCTTTTACTTCTTGAGATTGCTGAACTTGGTAGAATGTAGGGATTTGTTGATCTTTGAAGGAGTCTGATCTTAAAGCACTTAAGACTTAGTCTTAACATTCTTTGAAAAGTCTTAACAGTTATGACAATGATTTTTACAAATCCTGACTAGCTCTTTCAAATCAATTATCCTATTGTTTAGTTTTATCTTAATGTAAGACGATGAATTTGTTTAGTTCACAGTGTCTGATTAGTTAAGGGCTTTTTTGTTTGAGCTTAGTAAACCAAGAGATTGATTACCAGTTCCTTCACTTTTCTTACTTGATGCTTATGATCTCTTTCTTTTCTCAATTTTTTAATGCTTCTAAAAAACGGCTGCCTTGTTATACTATGAGAAAGTTGTGAATTCACTTTTCTTTCCAGATCTTTACGATTACTAATCTCTTTTATTTGAATTTCTCCTAGTTAGCTGAACCTGACTATCTAACTCAGATCTGCATAGGTTATGCTTCTCAACAAACTTTCGGTTACTTTCCTGAGACATCAACTCAATTAAGCTTCCTAACATCTTGATCTGATCAATGTCAAAGACCTTCATACCTTATTTAGAATCTTGCAAGGATATTGAATCGAGTTAACTATAAGGCTTCGAGGACTAATGCTAACTATGTTGGTCATTCTGAATCCTCACCTTCTTAACTTACTTGGCAGTACTACAAACTGAGGAGATATTTCTAATAGTGTTAGGGACTTGATTATTTTAATCAATCACAATGTTAAGACACTCAGCTTAGCCAGGTGTACTACAAGCTCTGCTAGTACAAATAGACTATTTATAAGAAGGCTGCTTATATTAGACGCTTGAAAAGTCTAGATGATCTTAAGGCAACTCAAATATAGACCTAATTTGGTGAGTGTCGATTCCACTAGATTAGTTGTGGCTAATAGCATGAGATTATTATTTATCTGTTCTCAAAGGCACCATAGATAAATGTGAGAACTCTTCCACTACCTTGATGTTAGATATATCTTTGGGGTTTTGCTTGGTTTACACAACTTGATCTCTTTTAGACACATCCTCCACACTTCTGTTATGTCTGTCCTTACTCTTAAGTCGTTTCACCAATTCAGTCATAACTTTCTTCAAGCTTTTAGATTCAGAACCTCTTTCACTCTTTTGCTTTTCAGCTAAAAGTGAGAGTCTCAGTTTGAGATTGATATTTTAAGAGTTATTGTCTTTTGGGAAGTCTATCAGTTTATTCTTTTAGCTTTTGATGTTTTGATCGTTTAAGCTATATCGCTTGCTTGCTCTACTCATCATGTAAATATCATCGTTGAATTGGAGTTTAATGCCGTCTATTTATTACAAATTCTCTTTATTATTCCTATCAGTATTTTAATTCTAATGCTAGTGAGCTTGAGCTGAATTCGTATTTTACTTAGTGCTATCTCTAAAAGGAGTTTTTAATTGTTACTCATCTTAATGCTATTAAATTGAGTCTTATTCATCAATGGCTATGCAATAGATTAATAATTCAAAACTTAAACTTACAATCCTCAGTTAAATAGCGGATGTAAGAATCTCTGCCTTCTCTTTGAATATTATTAATGATCTAGCATCTGTTAAAGCTATCCTTGACTTTTTTCTATGATGATTCTGATTAACTCTAAGTTTACAAAGATTTAGACCTCAACTGATTGATATTCTGATTTCTACTTTCAATTACTTTTGCTTTGAGTTATTTTTAAGGTGGTCTCCTTGGAATAAGTCTGTAGTTCTAATTCATCTAAGTGACTTCTTATTGCAAAATATTTAGGCTAAGGTCAATACTCTTGACTTGGGCATGACTTAATCTTTTAGAAAATGCAGGTTCATCCATCATTAAATCATTAATAAAAGTAGACATAATTTATAATTTGATTTAGTATTAAATTCAAAATATTAACTGCTGCAACAGTCATTAATATAGTTCATTAATATAGTTAACAGTATTGCTTTAGCCTTCTATAACTAGGTATAATATAGAAAAAAGACAAATTTGGTTTAAGTTATTGAAATAAAAAGATATTAACTTCCTTCACAATTCTCTTGTTCAAAGTTCAGTCTTGCCTTCAACGTGTGACTTAACAGCTGATGAGTGTTCTCTGAGCCATTTCTTGAAGTCTTCGAGCTCTCTGCCACCGTCGTAGTCGACTGGTGAGCTCTTGTTTCCCTTGGGATAGAACTTGAGGGTTGGGTAACCTCTAATTTCGAGACCGTCAACTTCGTTGGCAGTTGAGTCGAACTTACCTATGGTGAGGTGGGGTACGTCCTTGAACTCATTGGCGAGCTCTTCCCAGATTGGGGCGAGTTTCTTGCAGTGACCGCACCATGGGGCGTAGAACTTGACGAGGACGTCATTGTCGTTGTCGATAACAACCTTGTTGTAGTTCTTTCCGACGATGATCTTGAGGGCATCACCAGTTTCGGGTGGGACCTCCTCACTCTTAAGGAATGGTTGGAGATTCTTGTTCTTGAACTCATCTACGAACTTTTGGATACCTTCAACAGTTAAACCATCGATTGATTCAGAATAGGTGAATTTCTTCATGTTGTCTGCTGGGTCGAGGAGTCTAAGAGTTGGGAGTGATTTCTCATCAACACCGATAAATTCACCAAGTCTTTGTTGAATACCATCAGTAACACCTGAAACAACGAAGAGAATCTGTCCCTTGAGTTTCTCTGAGGCCTCCTTGAAGGCTTGAGCGAAAGCTGATTCAGAGTCTGAGTTGGATCTGAAGAGGAAGAGGGCAGCTCTTCTTTGTCCAAAGATTGGTTCGATGTAATCCTCTGAGAATTCGATGAGGGTAGGGACTGAGTTGGTAAGCATGAAGTCAACAACTGGAGTAGTTTCCCAGTTACCTGAGTATGCGACAGTTGGGGTGTCGAATTGTCTGAGGAGAACTAGAGCTGGGGTTGAGCTGGCACCGTGGGTAGCAGCACAATCCTTGTCTGAGGTATGGAAGAAGGTGAATTTCTCGCTTACTGCTGGGTTTTGGGCAACACCGAGGAAGACCTCAGAGTATGATCTGCCGCTGAGTTCACCGAAGTAGGCAAGTCCGAGCTTGGTGCTGGCAACCCTCTCCTTGAGTTCGTCACAAGTGACTTCAGTGGATGGGGGGCCAACTCTCTTGAGGATCCAGTTAACAATATCATTTTCTGATCTGCCACCTGTGAATTCGCTTTGGACTCCCTTACTATTAGAGGAGAATTAAAGATATGCTGAATAATTTATATATTTACTTGAAGAAGAATAGAGTTGGGAAACCTTTGATTCCGAATCTTTCAGCTAGTTTTTTCTGTTCAGTGGCGTCTACCTTGGCTAGGTGGTATGGTGGATTGTTTTGGGCTAGTCTTTGTGCGGCCTTGGCATACTCGGGGGCGAGTTGCTTGCAATGTCCACTATAATGAAACACGTGTGTTAAGATACTACATTTAGGAGGGAAATTTACTTACCACCATGGGGCGTAGAATTCGACGAGGAGGAAATCGTACTTGGCAAGTTCTTCGTCGAAGTTGCTGTCAGTCAAGACAATAACTCCTTCTTCAACTTCTGCTGGTTGGACAGCTGCGAATGCGAGGGCGAGGGCTAATACTAGACAAATCTTTTTCATTTTAAATTTTGAACTATTGATCACGAACTTAAATTCTAGTAAATATACAATTTATGAACTAACTTAAATCAGGGATATTAAAAGTATCAGAATCTTTAACTTAATTTATTAAAATTTTCTCGATCATCCTTTTCGCTCAACTCAATGGGGTTTTGGGGTTTTGGGG